AGGCTAGAAGTGGTTTGAAGCTAAATTGCGGCGATATTCTATAAGGAGTCAACAACAACATTAAAAGAAGCTGTTGTTTTTTTAATCATTAATGATTACAGGACATTCAAATGATGGGTTTTCTTAGCCTGGCCAACCATCCTATAGACGTGAGCAAATCCAGAGCTAAATCATTGTTTACCCTTTCTTAAATTTAAAGTAAAAGTATTTATATCTTGTGTTCTGACAAGAGTTCAGTGCTACGCTTATGCGTGGGATTTCGATCATTTTTGAGACTCTATAATAGAGGAGCAGGGAGTTAGATTTTGTTACATTCAACAGAAAGACCTACCTGTTTCACGCTGTGTCCAGTAACTGGTTACATTCGAGTAATACTTTGGCCTTTTTTACTAAATCAAGTCCTTTTCACAATACGTTAGAGAAAACCAGCACAACAAACTCACTGAGCTATAAAGCTGCATGTGTTCATTTTGCCATCTCTAGATTTTTGTGCCTTTTGATGTTAACTCACTGAAATAGAAACGTCCTTTAGTCTGAGATGTTCCTGCTGTCCTTTCTGCAGGCTCGTCACGCAGCACAAACTGGGGCAGATGGGATTGCAGTCATCGCCCCCTTCTTTTTTAAGCCCAGAACTGCAGGTATCCGACCCGTTTACTTCCCCTCCTACATTCTGATTCTGTGTCAGTACTGTTTAAGTTCACCCAACCTTAAATACTTAATCATTTTTTTTCTGTCATTCCATTTCAGAGGCTTTAAGGGAATTTATGAAGGAAGTTGCTTCTGCTGCTCCAAACCTGCCTTTCTACTATTACCAGATTCCAGCTCTTACTGGTGTTAATGGTCAGTGCTTTTAATGTCTGACTTGTTTTTGTTCTGGAGTAAGCTCCAGTCATCACCAGCCGCAGCCAAAAGCTTTGTTGAATGAGTCAAATGTCTTATATCTGTTTTTAGTGCACGTGAGAGATGTGATCGAAGGGATCGAGAAGCTCATTCCCTCCTTCAGGGGTGTGAAATTTTCTGGGTGCGACCTCATGGACTTTGGTCAGTGTGTCAGTTACTGCCAGGCTGACTGGTCTGTCCTGTACGGCGTGGACGAGGTCAGTCTCCTCCCCACATCTCCAGCTGTTTTGCCACTATTCTTTTAATAAGCATACAAATAATCAAACTTCATATTGTTTAGCTGTGCTTTTGTCTAACAGTCTGGAAGCTGTTTGTGTCATTTCATTAATCCCTGAGGATTAACACATTTTAGAGCCTCTTTTGTATCTCAAGTTGTTCATTAAACGAGCTGAATCATGATATTTTAAACCTTTGAGATCAATATTACCATTGGCACTATTAAGATGTCATTTATCATAAATTAGTTTTTTTGTCAGCCTGAATTTATAATTTGACCAAATCTGGGTGTTGTGATTGATGAACACCTGAGCTTTAAAGATCATGTTGCCTCTGTTGCACGTTCATGACGCTTTGCGCTGTATAACATACGAAAGATCAGACCAGGGACGAAATTTTGATTTCAGAAGTGGGGGGGACACAGCAGGCTTGTGCGGATTTGGGGTGGGGGGTGTTATGTAAAGACCCCTTGACACGTCACGTGCCCATCTCAATAATTTTTCCATCCTCATATATATATATATATATATATATATATATATATATATATATATATATATATATATATATATATATATATCAAAGTTAAAAAATGTACAACTCTATTATTATTTTTATTTATTATCATTATTGAAGTGCAGTTTTGGCTGTTGACAATGGATAGGCCATTGTATTTATTGTTTTGGGTCTTTTTATTGTTTTTGGTGCAACATTTTCTAACAGGGAGTGAGATTCCTTTTTTATTCAATTTTTGTTTGTTATTTTTATTCAATTAGAAGTTCTGGTTCTGGACATTTCAATGTTAAATGAAGGTTTATTTGTTGCATTTTAAAGAGTGTACTTGCATTATTATGATATATTAACATTATATTAGTGGTTATTTTGGTCTAGATAATGTTGACAATATCGTTTATCATCAACAATTTGTTGGACAAAATATCGTCCAGCAAAATGTGTTACTTTCCCAGGCCTAGTCAAAAGTATAAAAATTATTTATACATAAACGGTCCTCCTGAGATCTGGCCGTTTGTTCATTTGCTGTGTTAGAGGACATGCTGAACTAATGTTTTACACATGATCATCACCCTAACATTTGAGTGTATAAAAACATATTAAATATGTTTTTTCCCTTAAAAGTGTTTAAACAGTTGTTGCATTTCAACACACAAAAAATAAATGGAAAAAATAAGATAAATCTAATGAAAAGTGTACATCTTTGACATTAAGCTTAAAAAAATCTGTTGACGATGATGATACTGTTCATTTTTCAGAGCTTTTTAATGTGAACATATACATTGCAATAGATAAGTTTACAATAAAGTTAAATGATAAAAGTTTTGAAGTTACACTTCTACTACTACTAGTAATAATAATTATGATGATAATAGTAATAATAATAAAACAATAATTATAATAATACGAATAAATTGTGTCTGAGGAGTCAGTTATGTGGAGGAGATGAGTTTGTAAAAGTTAGTTTTGAGTATGTTTGTGAAGGAGGAGGTGAGTCTGAGCTTAATGCAGGGGTGTCACATGTTCCAACTTACGTTTTGACTTTGAAAGAAGTCTCTTATATCCACTTTTCGTTTTCTTGACATGCTGCCTCCTGGCTGTGCCTAACTACCAAAGACTCAAATGAACACTTATTCAAATGTTATGTAATGGAAGCTGAGCTGAGCTCTGATATTACACAGCGTCTAGTTGACGATGTGACTCAGTACCGGTGTTCCCTAGCGGCTCCAAACTAGCAAAACAACGTGAGCACGTTCTGACAGTTTACAACTTGAGTGACAGCAGCAACAGCCAATAATACGTTAGCAAGTATCAGCAGAGCCAATAGATTAGCTTTTGGGCGGGTCTAATAGTAAACCGGTTTCCGTTTCGGTCCTAGTGCTCAACCAAATCCATTTAATGGAGCGTAACATTGTTTTTGGACGGAAAAAAGTGCAGGGGACCAAAACTGCCTTTTGAAAAAGTGGGGGGGACATGTCCCACCCGTCCCCCCCCAAAATTACGTCCCAGGATCAGACCATACCTAACACAACATGCCACCCAGCTCCTGGTGTAGTCTACTGTCATCTCTCACCTCGATTACTGCAATGCCCTTCTACTGGTCTTCCAGCCTGTACTGTGAGACCTCTTGAAATGGTCCAGAACGCAGCGGCGTGTCTGGTCTTCAATCAGCCAAAAAGAGCACACGTCACCCCTCTGTTCATTGAGCTCCACTGGCTACCGCTAGCAGCACGCATCAAATTCAAATTGTTAACACTAGCATACAAAGTCCAAGATGGTACGGCTCCCATCTACCTGAATCCTCTTGCAAAGGCTTACGTCTCGGCCCGGCCGCTCCGGTCATCACAGGATCGTCGGCTAGCAGTGCCTACACCACGCTCAGGACAGTCCAGACTCTTCTCATGCATCGTTCCACAAATGTGGAATGACCTACCAAGCACTACAAGAACATGGGCTTCCTTTTCGACTGTCAAGAAACTCCTGAAGACCCTGCTCTTCAGAGAGCATCTTAACTAGCACCCGTCCCCCTCTCTACTGTCCACTCCTTGTTCCCTCCTCTCCACGATTCATCATGCTGCCTCACTGCCACCTACGACTGACAGGAAATTGTTTGTTGTTGTTGTTGTTAGCCTCAAGGGCAACATGCCGCTTATCACTTGTAAGTCGCTTTGGACAAAAGCGTCTGCTTTATACATAAACATAAACATAATTTATACCCAGAAAGGAAACAATCTGTTTTAGTGAAACTCCTCCCACCCCCGCTCCGACAAAACGTGTGAACAACAGTGTCTTAGGCAAGGCTGCTGTTGTATTGACCTTGGTAGTCCAGCAGTTTAAGGGGCCTGCCTTGTGTCTTGTTATGAGCTGACGTAGGTTTGACTCTCGGTGGTGTCGGTAGTAATTTATGTAACCAGCTGAAGCAGATTTCATTTATTCATATTGTAGTCTTGTTGGTTATTTTCTGCTAAATATTTTGTCTCCAAAGATCTTTGAATTTGGTCAACAGGAGCAGGGCCTAATGAAGAGACTAGTTTCCACTGACGCTTTACAGGATTTTCAAAGTAAAACTCAAAATTTGCAGTTGAAACAGGAAAATGCCTGTGTAGAAGTCAAGTCCATTGCTCGAACTTCTGAGGCTGCTAGACCGGGACCTGGTTGACGCTCTGTGTTGATCCGATGTTGACTAATTAAACTACTTAAAAAACAGCCTTAAGCGTGGCATTGTTATGATAATGCTTCTTGTTTAATGTTGATTGCATTCCGGGTGAAACAATGATAGGAGTAATTCGCTTTCTTTCCCATTCAAACGTCTTCACGCCACAGCGGTCAAAAACCTGTTTGCCCTTCCGGAACAGTGCCTGACGCCAACAATGACATCACTACCTTTATTCCAACCAGTAACAATGACACGCCCACATATCAATTAAAACATCAAGGCCAAAGAAAAGGAAATGACATATTTGGCTCCTACAGCCTGAATGCAGCCAAAACAGGTTTGGGTTTATTTTTCATGAGGAAATAACAATATCACATGGTAATAAGCTAGAAAACGCGGACTTTCCATGATATGGTCCCTTTAACCTCAGTTCTGAACCAAATCCCAAAACTAACGAATGCTCTTCTTTTAGCAACTGTTAGCAGCCCTGGCTATGGGAGCCCACGGAGCAGTTGGCAGGTGAGTGATCGTTTATTTTCAGATGTCCTTGTCCAATTTAAAAAATATATATATTTTTTATAGTTATGGTTAATTGTTTTCCCACAGCACCTACAACTATATAGGTTGTCATGTCAACAAGCTCTTGTCAGCATTTGAGAAAGGTGATCTTGTCCAAGCCAGGGCGATTCAGGTACCACGTGTTTCTGCATGTCTCTGACGCCGTCCCGGCAGATTTATTTCAATTTCTCCCTGATTTTTATTTGCAGTTCAAAATGCAAGAGCTTCTGAGCTACGCCATGAAGCTGGGTGAGTGATGGTTGTGATGTGTTTCTATGATGAGTTCAGTAGGGTCTGTTAGAAGAATCCTGTGTTTTTGTGTGAAGTAAAACCTGATTTGCTGTCTTTGACAGGCTTTGATGTTGGCGTGAACAAGCAGCTGACGGCCGAGTTGTCAGGCTTATGTCTGGGACCCCCTCGACTCCCGCTGATGCCGTGTCCTCATGATCACGCCCAGCTGATCGTGCAGAAATATCACAGCCTATTTTCTAAACGCTGACATGTTTGTAGTCAATTTTGAAAACACTGGGATCTAGATTTCACTTTACTGGTGATACCATTTACATTAACCAAGTCTGAGAGAATTATTAATTATTATTTGTTATTTTATCTTTCAAATGTTTATTCTTAATCAAATATCTGTGCTTATTATCGGTCCCGTTTTTAAACAGAGCAGGATAAGTGGCTGTTACCTTTCTGAATGTCCTTCATCTTTATTTTAAGGTGGAATTGCTGGGGCAGACCCAGATAAACATTTATTTGTTGGGTTTTCTACTAAACCAGATTATCCTCCAGTGTGAGGTCATGGCTGATTTGTATTGTATGATTTGAACAAATAAACTTTAGCTTTTATTTTCCATTTGATATTTATTTTTATAAATGATCACAGTGAGACAAACTATCTTAAAATAAGTGTTGAAATTCTCAATTTTGAAAGCTTTTGGGTTAAGATGGAACTGTACTTCCTCTCAATATTTGACCAAATCCGATAGGAGGCGCTGTTTCAGTGCTGCTTTGCTAAAGTTCTTTTTTTTAATAATCACCCAATAAACATAAAAACCCTTTTACTGAATATCTCAATGACATCAATTACTTTAGTTTCACTTTGTTCACTTTATGTTTTGTGATCTTAACAACACTCCCATGTTTTTGAGCTTCTCAACCACCAAATGTGGGCCTGTAAGAGTCCATCTGATTGGTTCGATTCATTGCATCTACATTATTTTGTACTGTTGTTGACTGCAGTTACTTGCATTGTTGATATTTCACATATTAATAAAATGAAGCCAGTAAATTTTTGAATATTTTGTAGTCATTTATGAAAATCTGGTGTTACTGTTGCTTTGTTTTGATAACATAAAAAAGGAAATAATAAATTGTATTTTTAAGACTGGTATTTAAATGCTACTAATAAATATGTATGTGTTACTCGCTACTGTCTTTGTTCCTTCAATGTTTTGTTTTCTCAAAGGGAGATTATTACTCTTTCTGTCTTTTAACATTAAATTAAACATGTTTTGTAGTATTGGGTTGAATGTAACAAACCATAAAAAACAAAGAAATGGAAGAAAAAGCTCAACCATTTATAAAGTTTATAAAGGAATTATTTTCAATAGTGTTATGAAAACTAGACATTCCTAGTTTTCGGATTAGCAGGACATGTGAATCTGGACAAGTGGGGGAGTAGAGGGAGGTGGAGTGTGGCTCTCCCCTGCCCTGCCTCCAACATGCCTCCATCTAAAAGGCTAGGTTATCCAGAGGTATCGCTGTAGTTATGCTGCTATAGGCTTAGACTGCTGGAGGATACACTGACCACTTTCCACACTCGACTACTTTCTTCTACAGTTTCCTCTTTAACTGTATTATTTCCTGCTATTTCAGCTGTTAACTTTATTTTCTCTCCAAGTGTTTTTCTCCCCAGAAGAAGCTACAATGATGTTCTGCTGAGCTGTGGTGGCCTCATGGAGGGGGCCATCATCTAGCACACTGCTGCTAACCACTAAAACATTCTCCCTCTCCTGATAATAACTTTTTGCTTTCCTTGACGTTGGATGTACTACTACTAGTTTACCCATTTAATTATAGATCCACTAGGATAAATACAATAAAGTTCTCTCACCAACTATAGAAACATTACTTGGTATTTATGTTGTGTGTGTGTGTGTGTGTGTGTGTGTGTGTGTGTGTGTGTGTGTGTGTGTGTGTGTGTGTGTGTGTGTGTGTGTGTGTGTGTGTGTGTGTGTGTGTCTGCTCTGTCTTCTCGATCCCCAGTGAGTCGTGGTGGATGGCTGCTTATACTGAGCCAGGATCCTCTGGAGGTTTCTTCCTGTTAAAAGGGAGTTTTCTTCTCCACTGTCGCTAAATGCTTGCTTAGTATGAGGATTGCTGTAAAGTCACTGACACTAGTCAGTGACTTGATGCAATTTGCTGGGTTCCTTATATAGGAAACTTTTTACTAATTGACTTAAGGAACTGAACTATATTGGAATGTTTACTGTGTGAAGTGCCTTGACATTACTCTTGTCATGATTTACTGCTACATAAATAAACTTGAATTGAAATGAATTGAAGTTTACCATCACGTAATACTTTCTCTGGGATGACTGGTTTCTTTTCCTAGCTTAAGGGGGAGATAGATTAGTTATTTAATGCAAAAGTTTCCACTCTTAACTCAGTTAAAATTTACTTCCAAGTAGTCATGCTTTTTGTAACGTTTTAAGTGCTTCTGATCAACTGTTGCAGGATTCCTGGTGGCCTTCCAGCTTTTGGCTTCTTTTTCTGCCGAGTCATGTCGGACCATGATAGTGCAATTAGTGTCAAAGATGTAGAAAGAGAACCCCGCCTCAAAAAAGACATGTCAGGCCTAAAAATATTCAATAGTGTCTGAAAGGACCCATTAGAGCTGTGGGCCTCCTTCATCATTTGCTGTTGGCCAACAAACTTACCAAATAATTATTTCTCATAAATGCAGAATAAAGTGTATCTGTAATAAACTGCTAACAAAAAAAATCCCCAGGTTTAACTATAGTTATTTTCTAAGTTTCCCCTTCTCATAGATTGTTTTATAATATCAAAAAATATCAAAAAGATGCAGCTTAAGAAAAAAAATCTGGCTCATTGAAATAAAAATATATTTAAAATAGCTTTTGAGCTTCAAGTCAGGTGTTCTGGGAATTTCTCCTTCCCCGGAACAATAATTGAGCATATCAGTTCCGTGCAGCGAGCGCACGACGGTATTAGAGTGTTACACGCAAAGCTGTAGAGTTTCCGGCCAGCTCAGCGCGTTGCTCCTGTTGTGTTGTCACTTTACTGCCTGTCAAACAAACAGCGGCTCCAGCTAGCTGAGAGGTTTTCTCGGGTCGTGGAGGAACAGCAGGACATTCCGGAGAGATGGTGCTGCTGACGATGATCGCTCGGCTGGCAGACGGGCTGCCGCTGGCCGCTTCAATGCAGGAGGACGAGCAGGTTCACATTTAACCTTTTAGCCTCTGGAGACTGGCGTCGGGCTGCTAGAGATAACACATCTGGGTTACTAATGTCTTAGTGACACGTCTGACGATAGTGTCCTAGTCAGAGCACGATTTAACTAGGCACGTGCCTGCGTTAGGAGACGTTTAACCAATAACAGCTGGATGGATTTAAAGGACTTGATCTTCTAATAAAGGCTTAGTTTAGCAGGCCTGTCTAGTTCTCACCAGGCAGGTTTTAGCAACAACATTCACCAGAGTCGGCTTTGAGTTTAAACCTGACTACCAGAGCCTGACTTTACCATTTTCAACATCCTTTAGGAAGCTCAAATCTAAACTCATTTATCCTGCTTCTCTGTGAGCAGAGTTTTGCATAGTTCTCACTTCTCAGTTACAAAACGTCGTCGTCGTCTTCCTCCGCTTATCCGGGTCCGGGTCGCGGGGGCAGCATCCCAACTAGGGAGCTCCAGGGAGGCGTCCAGGAGGCATCCCAAACCAGTTACAAAACGTGCATTAAAAAAATTATAGGTTCATAAATTAAAATTTTTTGTTCATAAATCTTGAGTTATCTCTTATTTCTTTTATATTTCTTCCAACGAGACAGACTTTAATTTAATTAAAATGTTTCAGGCTTTCTGTGGGTGTTTGGCTGCTTTATAATAAATCTTTTTGAATCCAGGACCACTTTACTCTGAACCATGACTCAAGGCTTCTCAGCCAAAGGGGTGAGCCGTAGCTTTCTTCTCTTTGGCCTGACGTAAGAACATTATATTTTCTCATTTTAAAAAGGCCCAAATATTACAGTTTAATGTTTAAAATTGTATCATTACACCATAAATGTGACCCCAAAGAGATGCAAACAGAAAACTCTACAGATATAACATTTAGATGCTATATATCATTGATAGATTTTGTGTTTGTTTGTTTTTAAGCCGTACACTTCTTGTTTTATCTTCTTCTTGTTCAATGACCTTGTAACTTTTTGGTGCATTTTCCTGTCATGGTCAGGACTGAAAATAGTAGCCAAAGCCAAACTTTAAAAAGACCCCAAAACTATTGATCTAGATCAGTTGTTCTGGCTCGTTGGAATCATACTATAAATTATTAATGTGGTTCAAATAGTTTCTATGTTTTCTTCAGTAAGAGCCTGTTACTTTTCAAATTAGACACTAAAAGCTTCCGACGAATGCCTCTAGACCAGGACTGACATAGAATGATGTGTCTTGCCATCTCATTAACATCAGTGAATTAAGGCTACAGAATAATAAGAGGAACATGAAAGAAAAAGAGCCCAGACTTTTAATTTTTTGTTCTTTCTGAATCCATATTTATAATTTGTATTGATTCTACTCTCATCAAAATTGCTCATATTTCTAAAATCTTTACCAGTTTCAGTCTGCAGAGGTCAGTATTATTCACAAAGTGAAGGCGGACCAGTTATGGGCCATTCCCATCTGTACCGGGTCGGCCCGGGCCGGGTAGCCCCAGTCGGCCCCAGCCTGGCCCGGTTGATTCCACACATCCTTGTCTTAAACCCATGTGGGCTGATTCTACCCACCAATCAGAGGCTTGCTCTAATGGAAGGTGTGAATTTGCTGTCAGCAGTGGGTGTGTTGGCCCTGGTCGGCCTGAAGCAGACCCCCTCGAGAAGAGGGCTGAGAATGAGCCTTGGTTGGCCCGGAAAAATACCAGGCCACCCAGATATGTAAACAACCTACGCTACCCGGCCCGGGCTGACCCGGTACAGATGGGAATGGCCCATTAGACGTGTGGCTGCTGGTATGGTCTTAAATGACTTCATGTCATGAAATGAACAAAAAAAAACATAAATGTTCTTGTTTAAAACTAGTTGTTGCTACGCTAATGTTAACAGGAGTCTAACCTTTTTCTCCTCTCGTCTGTGTTGCTTTCATAAAGGAAAGTGAAAAGGTTTGTTGTGTGTGTGTGTGTGTGTGTGTGTGTGTGTGTGTGTGTGTGTGTGTGTGCGTGCGTGCGTGCGTGCGTACGTGTGTGTGTGATACTGTAATGTGAGAATTGTTGTTTTTACAATCTTTTGATAAAGCATCAGCATCTCACTGCAGAGGCTTTATGGAGTCTGTTTTATACAAACAAATTCATTTTTGCCTCGTTAAAATGGCAAGAAATTAACCTGAATGAGCAAAAGCAGGGTGAAATGTGAGCTTTTCTATTTGATCTGTCTTGTTTCAGACGCTCAAGCCTGTCAAAATGATCTTAAAGTACCACATTGACTTGTGTATTAGTCTTGCCACGTTGTTGCCCTTTTTAAACTCTTTCTAATTTGATTTAATTGTTATTGTTTGGTAATAGTTTGTTGTTTTTTGGGTGTATTTAGTTGGGTCGAGATCTTCAGCAGTATCAGAATCAAGCTAAGCAGCTCTTCAGAAAACTCAACGAGCAGAGTCCCACACGCTGCACTTTAGAGGCCGGGCCCGTCACGTTTCAGTGAGTGTTAAAAAACAATCTTCTCTACGGGTTCTGAACGCATGTTGTTCATTAAGCCCTTTTGTTGAACTACACTTTTCTTTCTTGATATAGTTACTTTATAGAGAAAGGCGTTTGCTACCTCGTGCTGTGTGACGCCGGCTTCTCCAAGAAGCACGCCTTTGCTTACCTGGAGGATCTGCAGGCAGAGTTCCATGAGCAGCATGGAAAGAAAGTTCCCACGGTCTCACGTCCATACTCCTTCATCGAATTTGGTAAAAAAAAAAAAGACTGTTTGTCCTGTAAACTGTACTGGTGTTTTTTCAAATGCATCGAAGTATTTAAGATACAGAACATTTTCACAAAAGCAGGAACAGCAGACTTGTAAAAAATAGCATTTTGTGTTGCACAAAAAAAATCTTAACTGTGTTCTTTGTTTTTAGAGCCAGTCCAGCTGTGCACAGATGTGACCTTTAATGCAGGAGTGCCCTAGTTCACATTTACTTATGTAGCTGCTTTAATCATTTCTATTTTTTTTATTTTATTTTATTCATCCATTAGTTAACCAGGCGAGTCAACTGAGAACTCATTCACGACTTTAATCAATGTAACGTGCCATACGTATAGAGCCTGTTATGCATGTGATGTGATGCTATCCCAGACTGAAGCTAAACATTACTAACAGTGATCACAGACAGAAATAAGCGGACAGAACGCACTCAAAACTAAACCGTGGTCGCTGTGGGACAAAGAGTCAGAAATAAAATCTGAGATTAATTTTCTGTGTGTAAACTTCTGAAGCATGAACAGAGAAATTATCGCTACAATTCACAAAGACGAGCAGGATCAGAAAAGCAGACGTGCCACGAACACTGTTAGTTTTTTGAGTAAAAATCACAATTTTATAATGTTTAACAGAGTAGGTAAGTTATTTATTTAAAGTTATTTAACAGTGTAAAGCACATGTGTCAGACACAACGCCCGAGCATTTTTATGTGGCCCGCGAGATAAATATAAAAAAAGTATTAAAACTGACCCGCTGGCCGATTTTACCGCAAAGACTACAACTCCCATGATGCTTTGCGGCGTTCGCACGGAGCTGAAGCGCCCCCCTCCTTTGTGTTTTTTCCAGTGTCTGCTGCCGGTGTCTGCAGCTCTGCTGTCTCGGACAAACTAAACACTCCTCTCACTCAGCGTCGAGTTTACTCAGCTGTTTGCCGACGTTGAAGCCCAGAAACAGAGATTTTAACTGCTCAGTAATGTGTTCACGACTGAAAGAGAAAGTTTTCCAACTAACTTCCAGACAGAGCTGATATAACTTCAGCGAGCAGCGGCACGCTCAAATCAGCATGACTCTGTGGCTGCTGTAGTTGTTATTTTTCCTCCCCGACACACAACAACGTGGTCAAGCTGCTCAGATGCTCTCCATTTACTTTATTTTGTTGTTGGCCCGTGAGAAAAGATTTAACCTACAGTAAACAGGAAGTGGAAAGGCTTCAGATAGATGAATAGAATAGAAAATCCCTTTATTGTTCCTCAGTGGGGAAAGCTAGAAGTCACAGCAGCGATGGCACGTATTACAGGAGAACAAAAGGAGAATAAAAAATAAGAAAAATTAATAATCAACAAGAAAACATAAATCATAGATTTTAAAAATGCTGAATATACCACAAGTAATGAATGCCACTGATGCCTTTTATTTAAAACTGACTTGCTCGTGTGTAATTTGGTTATTCCACATTCAATGTTAATGCAAAAATAAGTTTGTTTCCAAATTAAAAGGTTCAAAATTGCATATATGTTGATAAAGAAAATGTGCAAATTTGCCGTCACTTTTTCAAAAAATATTAAGTTCGGGCCGCAACTTCGTCCCAGATTTTCATTTCGGCCCCGTGTGGATTTGAGTTTGACACCCCTGGTGTGTTATTTCAGTTATACTGAAACGTATTTCATATCCAGCTGACTGTGGGGGTTGTCAGTTTTTCTCCTTTCAAAACAAAAGAAGGAGGGACGTAACTACTATTTACCATCAGTGAGTGTGGGGGTGCCGTGTCTCCTGAGAGCTAATGCTGCAGCCCCAACAATTGTAATTTGACGACAACCAGCAAAAAGCTCCAGAGTTGTTTAAAGAGGATGCAAAAACCAAATTTTACCACAGGAGGTCATTTTTACTTCATTTCTACATAATGCACCTTTAAATGATTTAGATTTGTCTAAACACCGTGCTTAAAATACACATCATGGGCTGCAAAAAGGATTCTAGAAAACGTTATTTTATCCCCCACATGCAAAATTTCCCCAGAAAAAGAAGTCTTCAGCTGTTTGCACAGATCTGTTTGTAAAACTTGTCCACTCAGATTCGTACCATAGACTTCTCTCCACATATTAACGCTCATAATTATAACTCGGGCGCCTTCTGGGACACTTGATCAGTCCGGTGGGCTTCACTTGCAGGATTTTTATCATTTCTTAAACTATTTGTGTCGCTCTCTCCTTCTCCCTTGCTGACCGTTTCTCTGTTATGTTCATTGCAACAGTCGGAAAGGTTTTTCTGCACTTCTAGACACTGAATTGGAAAAACCTCTCAGGTGTTACGGTACGGAGCAGCTTGAGTAACAAATACTACAACAGTGAAGCTTGCTCATCTTGTTGATCAAGTTCGTGTTATGAAAGTCACCGAGGGGCTACCATGAGGTGTCATGTAGGCTACCAAAGTGCAATCTCTGAGCTTTTCTGCACTTTTGTTATTTTCTGATGTCCTGAACAGCTCATGGATTACGGTAATACGGAGGAGGCATGTGAAATGCTGTCAGCAGCGACAGCCTGGTTGCTCAGAATCGTGTTCATATAGATATCAGGAAACTCGATTCCTGGTCAGATATTTGGATATAAAAGCTAAATCGTGATGAAATTATATTGTTTAAATCTCATTCCCACACAGGGTGGTGTGCCACAGAAGCATGGATGAATGCACGTAGTATCATGGCTTCCTTTCTGAATTAGTTCAGAATATCAGTCAGTAACAATCCATCAATCCATCCGTTATCTGTACCCACTAATCCACGCTGGGGGCTCCAACAGTCTCTAGGCAAACAGGCGGGGTGCACCCTGGACTGGTTGCCAGTCTATTGCAGGGCAACACAGACACACAGGACAAACAACCATGCACACACACACACACTCACACCTAAGTATAATTTAGAGAGACCAATCAACCTGACAGTCATGCTTGTGGACTGTGGGAGGGAGCCGGAGTACCCGGAGAGGACCCACACACGCAAACTCCATGCAGAAAGACCCCAGGGCGGGATGCGAACCCAGGACCTCGCATCAAACCTTCAGCTTTAAAACAGATGTCCCAAATGCTGCATCTTCTCCGGAAACAGTAGTAGCTGCAGAGCTGATGAAGCTTTACTGAAATTCCACAAAAAAAAAAAAATCCTCAATTGTGCAGATAAATGAGCCTAAAACTGTAAACTGTGAAGTGTTTGAAGCAAACAACTCATGGCTTCATTGTTACTTTTCTGTTTTTCTGTTGCGTTTTTTTTTTCTCTTTTAGACACCTACATTCAAAAAACCAAGAAGTCGTACATCGACAGCCGAGCACGGAGGAATCTGGGTAGCATCAACACGGAGCTGCAGGACGTCCAGAGGATCATGGTGGCAAACATAGAGGAGGTTCTGCAGAGAGGAGAGGCTCTCTCTGGTCAGTCTTGGTCATTTGAGGCTGAAGCTTCAATCTAAAAGAGGAAAAACCTCATCTGGATCATCTTGTTTTCTTCTCCTTGCAGCGCTCGACTCCAAGGCCAGCAATCTGTCCAGCTTGTCAAAGAAGTACAGGAGTGATGCCAAATACCTGAACACCCGCTCCACCTACGCCAAGCTGGCAGCAGGTGGCGTCTTTTTCATCATGCTCATCGTCTACGTGCGCTTCTGGTGGCTCTGAGAGAGGAAGAGGGAGGAGGTAGTGAAGTGGAAACGAGCTGCAGGCCGTCTGCGAGTGCTGAGAAAAAGCAGCACTTTCGACCCAAAAGGATCCCTGCTCTTAATGAGACTTTACACACACGCACACACACACACACACACACACACACACACACAAGCACTCATTTTGTCCTTAATTGTCCGTATGTGGGTCTGAATAGCAACGGTGTCATGAAACAATGTTTTCTAATTAACAGTCATTCTCTATCTATGGCCCTCGGATTGTAGAGGAAATTAGTGTGTGTGTGTGAGAGTGTGTGGGTTGCCTGTTTTTGAATGTGATTTCTGTGCAAAGGTAGAGAAAAAATTTATTTCCTGTTTTGTTCATTAACCTTCTGTATGTCTAAGGATACAGATAAAGGACACAAACCACATCATTATTTTCCTTTTTGCTCCTAATCTCATAAACGTGCATAACGCGTCCGATTCATCACTAAATTATCTCCGCTGTAATTTAGGCACAAACATTTGAGGCAGATTTCATTTAAAGTAGTGTTTGAACGGTTCACAAATACAACTATCTGTTTTATTTACCTTTATTGTGATGAGACAGGATGTGACATCAGACGTTATGCAGTGACTCAGAAGGGGCGAGCAACCGAAGGTGGTTCATCTCAACCCGTTCCCAGCTTTTACCCACAAGATAAAAATAAGTTTCGCACGCGTCTGACATGAAGAGGCTTATTAATGCACACCGACGACATCAACCCTGTTTCCTTATCTTTGCTTCCTGTTTGTAAGCTAAGGGACGTGTTTAATAAAACCGTGTCATCATTTCTCTCACATTTAAGTCTTTGTTCAAAGTTGAAGTGAAAATTTACAATCTCCTTATTTACAGGAAGGTAGCTGGATTATTCAGCATTTTATGTTTACTGTACGTTAAAGCATATTCACTAGTAGTGCGTTGGTTGCTATGACATTCATTTGATCTTTGATTGCACCTTTCAGCAGAAACGCTGTTGGTTGAGTTACTGGCAGCCCTGAGCTACAGGCTCACAGAAAACATCCAGAACTACTTTAATGAAAACAGCTTCACACATTTTTTAAACTGCTTTTACATTTAAGCTACTTTAAATGATTTAGAGGTTTGTTGCTCCTGTTTTGTGATCATTTCTCCTTCGTTTGCAGGAAACTTTTAGAAATGGCCGTTTCGGCTTTTCCAAAAAGTTTTATTTTTCTTTGCGACTTCTTTGTGTGTTTTCAGTTAAAGTCCTTCACCTCTGGTCCTAGGTAACGCGTCTCTAAATCTGTTCTATAATGTGATTTTCTTGGTTGTATGCAGCTGAGCATCCTGAATCAAACACTCTGTGAACTGGTTTCCACTAAAATCTGGTTTGGTGAAAGTTTGTTTACAGGAAAAAGTATATTTCTTGTAAATGAAGGATGCCAGTAATTCTGACTATGTCTGTGTGGGAAAACAAATCCTAATTCTTTTGTTTAGTAACATTTAACCAATAATCTGAGCTGGATGGAGTATTCTTTCACAATAACATACAAGGCCGTTTTATCTGTTAGATCTGATTTAAGACATTCAAACATGAATTCAGGCGTGAGTCTTTGTTCTTGTTTGTCAGAGAGAACATCTGTTTCTGTTCTGCATATGAATAAAATCATTTGCACACGCACTTCCTGTCTTACAGGCCCTTAACTTGAACTTATGTTATCATGACTTCTTCAAGCAATAATGCAGATCTTCTTTTTTTTCTCAGACATCAGAAACTTGTGAGAATATAGAAGGCTTATTTAATGCTTCAACATTTTTTCCCTGGAATATTTTTGCCCCTCACCATTTCAGTGATAGAGTACCTATAAATTAGTGAAAATACATCATGAACGCAACAGTTTTTAGCATGTTTTGCAGGAATGGCAATGATTTAGTTTTTTTTCTTCTTCTTCTAAAGCCTCACTTGTCTTAACAGCCACAGTAAGGTTTCTCACATCCTCTTTTCTAGCCAGTTTTATAATCGCCAATACGGACCTGAAAAACAAAGGAGACCGCTAGCTAGGTGATAACTTCTCATGGGGCCGCACAGTTAGTTACTTTTTTTTTTAAATTAAAGCAACCGGAAGGCGGTACGTTTCTTTATTCTGAAAATCTCGGGAGCGTCGTTCCATTTCTGCGTCCGATTTCCTGTCTTTCCTTCCCCAAAAATGTTGAACTTTGACCCGTTTCAGAGGCGTAGCGCGTAGAAAATAGAACTGGTGCGTAAGGGCCGCGACATGCTGCTCCTGAGACGCGGCCGACTCGCGCTGCTGACGGCTCCTGTGGCAAAGGTTCTGTTGACCACAGCGGTTCCTATCAGCAGCTATGGCGTGCTGCTGACGGCTCCTGTGGAAAGAAGGGGTTGAACTTAGCTTTAAAGGTGTGGTTGGCTGAAAAATCATTTTTTTAATGATCATTTATGATAAGAATTGGTCGCTCTGAAATTTTCATGCAGGCTGAACTTGAAAACAGTCTCCTACACCTATCTCCTCCATTAGGTTCTGATAGAAAATACAGTGAAATGCTAGGATTTGAAAATCCTGATACTGTGATGTCACACTGTGAATTTGCATGTATGGCCTTGCCCATCTTGGCTCATGCCTGCCCACATGACAGCTTATTTTTATTTTATTTTATTATTTTTTTTGCAGCGAGGAGAGAGAGCGGAGAGTGCCTCTGTGGTAATGACTTTGCAACATGGCCAAACGCGTTCTGTTAGCTAATCAGAAGCAAGGTGTGTGTATGTTATTAATAACAATGAGTAATTCTGCTGTTTTCAGCCCACCTCTGCACCAGCAAATTTCTGTATCTCAGAACAGGAGCATCATAGCTTTTATTTAAAAGATTCATACGGCATTGATTTACACTAGAATACTGCAAAAGTATTGAATACGGGTTTGGCACCATGAGGGCACGTTCAGGGGCGTCGCCCCCCCTTAAGTGAACTACACCGCCCCCTCATTAATTCATTTAATTATATATTTTTTATTATTACTTTAAACATTTTCAGCTATTTTTTACATTTCTATTTAAAACTGTGAATATTAGAATGTGTGTGACAGCTTTGTTTATAATATTTCTAAATGCATTGGAAAATAAATGTTCCTTTAGCGTATTGCTGAGTTTCACTCACATGACGTCTGCAGCCGCGCAAAACTCAAATAGGGAGCGGGAAGTGATTGCAACATGGCGCGATGGAGGAAAGCGACTTTACTTAGGCTTTAAATGAATCTTTGTGTTAGCTTGTAGCTACATCACTTCAGTTCGACAGGTGTCGTCGTTTGATCCCGGCCTTACAGCCCCACCCTCAGCTCCACCTCTTTTCCCTTTTGGGAATTGTCTGGGCTTGAAGGAACCTGTGACATGGTCAAAGTGGCGGGGGTGGGAACCTCCCATTTTGGCACAAAAACTTATAATTGGAGCCTATGGACGCGAATTGTCCAGTATATAGGTCGATGCGTTTGACGTACGTGGATGAAGATCAGCTTTAGAGCTGGGAAGTTTGTTCTCGCGGTGCGGGGGCTCATTCCGACGCCCACACTGTAAAAAAAAAAGAAGCAAATAATGACTTTTGCTGTCAGTGGCAGTTAATGAGTTGATAAAACACTCCAGTAGTCTCTTACCTGTTAGAAAGTGATTGCTGTAAACTCCAGCATTGTCCGTGTTAGCTCCTGTTTTAAGCTGTAGATCCTGCTGCAGATACTGAAACACTTCTGCCGTCTTCTTTCACTACGTTTTTTTTAATTAAGTTCTTTGTGGTGCACTACATTTGGGACTTGAAAAAAAAACATTTGTCTTTGTTCAGATTAGAGTGATCGTAATAACCGCCCAGTCCCCAAAGTAAATAGTGTTTTGTGCAGCGCCGTCTACTTCCAGACATAGCATGATGTCATTCCCCCCCCCCCCCCCCCCCCATCCTTTTTGTCCTGCTGATGCAGGGCCTGATTACACCTTTAATCAGAAACGTTCTTGTTGTACCGCTGATGTCCAGCAGGGGGAGCTCTTAGCCAACTGTTAGAAGGTTGAGGTGAAACCTGAGCTCACTCCTGCTGCCTGAGGCTTTTTGTCAGCTCCACATCACAAGGCTAAGAATTTAAAAAAGGAAAAAAGAGTAGAAAACTAGGTTTCAGTTTTCAGAAGGGAGTGAAAGAGAGGGAGAGGTAAGAATAGCTGACTGCTGCAGATGCAGTCAGCATGCACTCAGACTAGTCTGAATCTTCAGCCTGATACAACAGGAAATGTCAAGAGAAAAAACGAGAAACAGTAGAGGGTAGCGTGCCAAAAACAAAACCACAGGGCTCAGGCTCACCTTTTCACCTCTTAAAGGAAGTGAGTTTGTCTAACTCGTCATAAAACTCATCTTACTTTCTAATCTCGCTCTATTTAAAATAGTTTTAACATAGTTTTTTCTCTTCAAAGCATACTTTCTTTCCAGTGGGTGACTACTATCTGCTTCTAATTCTATCACAGTGATTCACCATGTTGCTCATCTTCACAGGCCTGTCTGTCCTGTCTGTCCTCTCTCGCTGTCGCCATTCTCACAACCTTTAAACCTTCTCCTCCCCCTCCAAAGAGAACCAAAACAACAAAAAAAGTGCAGACACATTGAACACACAAGTCTACAATCATTCATTTCCTTATTGTAGGGTTGAGAAGTCTGCCTCGGGTGAAAAATAAGCACAATAAAGTCTCTAACTTCAGTGTGATTTAAGCGACGACAACCTGCCCTTTTCACTCTTTCCACCACTTTGTCTTCTTCCTCTGCAGGTTGCCATAGCGACCCAGTGTGTGACAGTCATGTGAAAACGTAGCTGATTGGATTAAAATACTTTGTGTGATCAGAGGTCAAGAATAAGGCACATGTACTAAAACACGTTTCATTTAAACACACACACACACACACACACACACACACACACACACACACACACACACACACACACACACACACACACACACACACACACACACACCCCAACTGAAACATCGGTTTTATCAGCTTTTGAGAACACGAACCGTGCTTCTAACTCATATTACTTTACTCTAAGTTTCCTGTCAGAGACGAGAGAACCTCAGGACTGCACACCCACTCATGACTTTGTTGTAATCCTAAAGCAACAGCACCTTAAACTACAGTCACCTCTACCTCCGTCTGCCTCAGTTGAAGGCTCAGTGAGACTCCTGGAACCTCCACAGAGGCAAACATCCCATCAGCAAACTCAGTTAAAATCATTGCTTCTGTGTCTGTGAGTCTTTTATCAAACCAAACCCAACGATGTGA